TTAAATTATTCATTATTTACACACAAGCCCCTCTATAAATACCCAAAATAACAAAAAAAAACCCTCATTTCTAACCTATAACCCAAAAAACTTTCTCTCCTTAAAATGCTCTCCATTCCTCTTCAATCGACCCCAATGCTCGGTGACCATTGATCGTCGCTCTGGCCATCGACGACGGTAGCTGGGCAAACCTGAAACACCCCGAAACGCTTGTCTCACCCTCGAGACCCCAAATCTGAACCCCAAAGCAACAAAATCAAACCCCCTCAACATAGATCAAAACTAAAAGGTCTCGTTTTTTTTCCTTTTATCTCTGATCGACCCCTCAGTCTTTTGAATGGTTATTTGCTCCTCTGTGTGGCTTTGCAAGATGTTTTTTTTTCCTTTGGCTTGATTTGTGTTAATTTTCGTTGAGTATTGCTTTATTTCGTGGTAACCTTTGATTGTTGCCTCCTTTTTGTGTTGGGTGCTCTCTTCGGTTGCTACGAGTCCTCTGTTTTTATGTTGTTATTCGTGTTGTGTGTTGGGTTCTTTCGTGGCTATTTTTGTTTGGTTGCTTTTCGATCGTTGTTGTTGTTTTTCGGCCTCCCCGATGAAGCATTTATAGCCCCAAGTCAGGGTTGTTCTCCGTTTACTTCGGGGTCGTTTACCCCTATTTCCCGATTTAATCGGGATGGCCGATGTTGTTGCTGAAAACCTGGGATGGTGCAGTCTCGGGCTGTCCTGATTCGAACGCCGAGAATATCAGTCGGTGCGATTCAGGCTGTTGGTGAGCCACTATGCGACGTTAATGCTAGGGTTTCAAAAACCCTAATATGCTAGGCTGGTTCAAGCCCAATTTCCTTCAAATCGGGCTTGCTTTGCTGACATGGCTCGATTGGGTTTCATTTGACTCGAACAGACGCTTCATTGGACCTGAAAATAATAATAATTACAAATATAACAAATAAATATAAATAATATTAATATAATATATAATATATAATGTAATGAAATATATAACTATATAATAAGTAAGTATATAATAATATAATATATATTATGTTTTCAAAAATCATTTAAATATATATATATATATATATTTCAAAACTATATATAATATACGTTTTTAAAACGTTTTCAATACCATTTATTATACATTTTCAAAAATATATATTATACACGTTTTTAAAACCATATATTATACATTTTCAAAAATGTTTTTAAAACTATATAATATATGCTTTTTAAAACGTTTTCAAAATCATATATTATACGCTTTCAAAAATGTTTTTAAAACTATATAATATATATTTTTTAAAACATATTTTCAAAACCATATTATATATTTTCAAAACACCGATTTTTAAAATTAAAAGCATTTAAATTATGTGTTCTCAACAATATTTTTTAAAAATTATATTATTATATAAACTCCGGACGAAAATGAGTGACTGCACAATAATTCCCAACTTCTCAGCTATCCAAGGTTAGATTTGCTATTTCTTTTTCTCTTAATTCGTTATTATTGGAAAGTATAGATTAGGTCAACTGAAGCTCTTCAATGTGCATCAAATATTTCAACAATATTCTCTTTTGTATTTTGGCTTCGTTTAATATATATATATATATATATATATATATATATATATATATATATATATGAAAAATTCAAAGAGTTTTATACTGTCTAAGTGGATTTAACTCTAATTGGGATAAGAATATGTTACACAATGTAAAATTCTTTTAATTTTATACTGATTTAGGTCTGTTGGATGAGCGAAAAATAAATAACTGAGATTAACGGTAGGAAATGAGAAGAAATTCATTAAAAAAAGACAATGAATTAATCTTAGCCGTTTATTTTTACTCATCCAAATATCCTAAATCTATGTAAAATTAAAAGAATTTTACATTTTGTAAGTGGATCGTAGCTCATGATAATTATCCGTTAAAGACATACCGACAGAAAATCTAGTCCGTTTAAGTTTCGCACGTCGGAGTCTGCGAAAAAAGAGATTCTCTTGGCAAGAATAGTATCCCGACGCCAGTCCCAACAAAACAAAATAACTGTTAAGTCAGTGTCCGATCAAACTCAAATATTTTGACCATGAACCCTCTTCTGCACACAGAATAATGATCAATTGTATAATGCTATGCAAACAGTTCTCAATTAAGATATTTTATAAATTTCTTTTAATAAAATTAGTCTTAATTATAGTTTATTTCTTTATCAATACCTTATACACTTGAGGTCATAAGATCAAAATTTTATATGCACAAACTCTTTAAATACTTCAAGAGATATTTATACCTAATGACAAATCTAAAATTTTAAAATTGAAGATCTAAAATTAAAATCAAAATTAAAATCTAATGCTATAATTGAAAATTTAATAATATGATTGATATATCTTCTAAAATTCAATAGTATATGATGTAATTTACCTAAAATATTAATAACCAAAACCTCATTACCGTAATAGCGAATTGAATTCGAGCAGCAAAATAGGTATTTAACGTTTTCAACATTATTATTTTACATGTCTCGTTCGTTACAATCATTAAAAAAAGCTGTGAACAACATAAAATGTGACAAATAATATATTTATAAAAATTTAAAATTTAATCTAAAAAGACTTAAAGTTAATTTTTAAAAAAAAATCAAAAGTTATCTTAAAATTCAAAAGAAAATTTCAAATTTCTAAGATCTCTAATCATCTATCATCTCCGACTGACCTTTCTACCAGTCGTCTCTTCAATGATCGACAATTGCCCTTTCAGTCGTCTCAAACTCCTAAATCTTTAATTCAAATTACAAACAATCGCTTAGTGTTATCTCGCTGAAGGTAGATTTTGGGAAGAGCGACAATGATGGCAGCCCTTCTTGCTCCGTTCAATGGTGGAACGACGATCGACAGGTTTAAAATTAAGGATTTTATGTGTTTTTTATTTTTTATTTTTGAGAAAGTTAGATTTAAAAGAATTAATACTTGTAAGTTTTTTCAAATATAATTTACAAATGTGTCACATTTTGTGTGTTGATGGTCTTTTTTTAATGACGATGACAAAGTACATTGACAGAAAAAACTTTAGACACCTAAATTAAAAAAATATAGTCTGGAATTTTTTTTTAATTAAACCTTAATATAATATTGAAAGAAATAGGATAAACCAAAATATAGTCGCCGAATATTTAAAATATTTATATTTTAATTATCAAAATTTTAAAAATAATATTAAAATTATTAAACTTTTAATTAATTTATTTTGGTCATTTTCGTGAACTGCATGTGTTGCCCATTTTATTAGTGAAATTTAAAAAAAAAACATTATGTATAGTTTTAGTGACGATTAAACCGAAAACTTGAAAAAGAAATTCAATGCCTAACTGATAACCATTAGGTCAAATTAATAAATCATAAGTATGTTGATAAAAATATTATTTAAATTAAATTATAGCTAAAATTAATTTTATTTACTTTATAAAAATATATTAATGATAATATAAATTATAAAATAATATAATAATTTGTTTTTAACATCAATTATGATATAAGCCTAAATTTTGATACATTTAGTATGTATGTCATGCTCGGTTATATTTTTATGTTATGCATATTTTGCCTGATTTGTTGTAGTATTTTAATTTCATTATATTTTATGTATTCATATTATTATAGGTCTAAGTTTATTTAATATTTTTTATAACTTGTAATATCAAATTAAATTTAGAGAAAAAATACATGTATGAATCTATTTATAGAATTTTTATATACAAAATTTTTTATATATTATATAATTTTTCGTTCAATATAGATTATATAACATTTTACGAGTTAAAAAATTATTTTATATACATGTTTGCGAAAAAGAAAAAAATTCAAATCAATAATATATTTTTAAAAATTCAATTTAATTTTTATATAATCATGAAATTATACTTAGTCAACTGAAGTCATAATAAAAAACAATATTTTAAAATTTTATATAAATTTTTCTAAGAATTTTAAAAGATTTAATATTTGTTTTGCTTTATGTACTATAAATAAATTCTTAAATTGACCTCTCTATTAATTGATGTTAAAAATATGTTTTTATATTATTATATAATTGAGACTACATCCCTGCGTCGATCAAGAAACTAATAACATCGTTACACTTTGTGACGATTATCATAGCTGACAATAAAAGGCGAGAGTGGAGGGTTTTGAATAGAGAGAGAAAAGTGAAAGAAAGAGCGTGTGAGTCAAGAATCACAGTAAAAGAAATGCGTCAACGGTTATAAAACGCGGTGTTACTTCCCTTTTTATCCTGATTTTCTTCTTCATCTAACTCCAATAAATTCTACTCAACGGGAACGGTCGGTAAATCCAAATTTATCTTTCCCCCTCTTTTGCCCTGATTCTATCTTCCCCATCCTTCCCTTATTTAAAATTTTGATTATAAAATAAATCAAATGGCATCAAGAACTGTTGCCAAAGATATTATCCCTCAACGGCAGTCGTAATTTGATGAATCAAAATAGAAAGAACATGGGAAGTAAGGAGAAGTTAGATTTCAGTTGTCTTTTTGTCCTGATTTTCATCTTCATCTTCATCTAAACCAAACAATATTTTATACTTCCTAATTTGTCTTTTTTGCCCCGATTTTACCTTCTCATTTTTCCTTTTATATAGATTTTGATCATAGAAGAAATCCATATGCGTCAAAAACTGTTGAAAAAGGTATTACAACTCTTTGAGGTTGAACGGCAATCGTGAGCGAATTTTTCAGTATGTAATTTCTCAAACATGGTTTTCTCACTTTTACTCCCTTTTTGCATTTTCTGGGATTTCTGAGTATTTTTAGGATGAATTTGATTTTTTTGGGAATAAAATGAGTGATTTTTAGTAAAATAAAGTTGGGTTTATTTGACATTCTGTATATTCGAGGAGTTTATCCGGAAGAAAGTTTTTCCAAAGTGAAGAAGTATGAGCTTCCAAAGTTGCTTAATCAGGATGATGTTATATATATATATCCCCTTCATTTCCTTCAAGATTTTTGTTTATCTGTCTATCCTCCCTTCGTACACTAATGATCTATGTCAATTGTGAAAGAGTAGCAAAATGTTGTTACTTGTTTAGGATCCAACATAGCAGAAACAGAAACTCTGTGGTGCGCCTTTTATGGTGGCCGCAAGCATTCCCTCTGAGTACCCAATTTAGGTTCCTTTCATTTGCTAATATTTGGTTTTAAATCATGTTTACATGTGTAAAATATGCATAATTTAATTTCTTTATTTAACCAAAACATATAGGGATTACTTTATTATATTTTTTAGATAATATTTTAAACTGAACTTTCTTTCTAGAAAGAAGCCAAGTCACGGGAAGAAGAGGATAAGGAACAAAGAGGAAGTATTTTTGAAATAATTATACTATTTTAAGGATATTTTAGTCCAAATTCATGGAATAGATAAATATGTATGTAGTATGTGGGAATGATAATCGTAAAACACCCTTAAAAAGTTATTGTTGGGAATGAGTTATTACTCACAATTGAGAATCTTTCCCATCCAAACAAGCTATTAAATTCTGGAAAAAAGTTCCCCTGTAATCACATTTCCTCCATCAAAACATCCCCTAAGAAGTAGTGTTATTATATGGGTAAATTATACATTTAATGTCTAAACTATTACTTTTATTCTGTTTTAGTACTTAAATTTTATTTTATTTTTGAAATCATAACTAATGTTTAGTTTAGGTTTTAATTTGGTTTCATACTGTTAAAAGATTAATAGAAATGTTGATGTGGTGATTTTTTTCAATGATTTTGGCATGTTAACACTATCGTTAAGTTTTTAATAGTGGGGTATCAAATTGATATTTAAACTAAAAAATATGTATGATTTTTGAAGAAAAAAAGTAGGTATCAAAACATAACAAAAGTAATAGTTTAGGTACTAAAAAGTATAGTTTACTCTTATTATATTTATCTTAAACTTTATCTCGAGATTTAAGATACAAATTTGTTGAATTCATTAAGCGACCTTAATAGTTTAAAGAGTGTTATTCTTTTTAGAAATTTCGAATTTGACCATGTTTGCAAGAAATATATGTATTATCAATAATTAAGAAAAATTGTGAACAAAAATTATATTGTGAAAAAATATTAAATTGTGAGTATTTAATGTCAAATAATTGAGAGTTATCTTTGAACAAATAATATATATATATATATATATATATATATAACCGCCCAACATTTAAGATGTAAACCCATCGCGGACTCTAAATAAATTAACGAAAATTTTAAAATACATTCACTTCTGAAATATTAGTTCCGTACCAAAGTATGGATAAAAGAACAAGCACAATGATTAAACTTTAATCAAATCTATTTTCATGCATAATTGCTGTAATGACAAATATTGGCAGTCCAAGATTGAGGTGCAATCGATCGCTAGGCTCGAATATACAACACAACCTAATCATACGACCGAGTATATGATTATTTAGCATATACTACACATGATGCATTGCTATCAAGTGACCAAACCTGTAGCCTTCGTGTTGGCACTTGAACTAATTATACATCAAAGAGTTGACCGAAATCCCGTTGAGCTTGCCGCCTTCTCGTCAACGGGAAACATGGGTGTCATCGTGTCCTTTCATGCGCAAACCCAAGTCCAAATTATCCATGTTTGAGTCCTGCAAAACAGGAAGATTTCTGCTTTAGTTCAGTCTTAAGAGGGAATCAAATATTTCATACTTTGAGCAAGAGTGTTATTTATATAAAACCAATGAAGAGATTAACCGAATGGATGTCGAATTCCTCTATCCTCATGCTTCTAAGTTTTAACACATTGGTAGGATACAATACCAATACCAAAACAGAAAGCTCTGTAGAGGATGAACCAATGGTAGAACTAATATTAGAACAGCTTAGCTACTTGAAAAGGCTTGTCCCATCTACAATTAATCATGAAACTTTCATGTTTTGTATTTAGAATTTCTAAATTATTCACCTGAATGGAACACAAATACAACCTCGTTGCACACATAAACATCATCTGAGAACCAGCACAACTTTATCCGCAACTGTAATTACCCAGCTAAGATAGAATGCATGAGACATTGAAGTTTCAATCATTTTATTGTAACGAGCAACATCTTAACCAGTTCATGTTTAAACCTCACACACAAGCAAGCATCATCCATGAACCAACAAGAATTTATCTGCAACCACACCAACCACTTGAGATGGAAGGCAAGATAATTCGAGGTAACACTTAAAAAGAGGCTTGTATCCTGCAACATCTTAACCTTTCGAGTTCTGCATATAGAATTTCCATCCTATTTACTTAAATGGAACACAAGTAAGCATCATCCAAGAGCCAACGCGACTTTATCTGCAACCATACCGACCAGCTGAGCAGGAAGAGGTGAGAGGCTAGAGTTCAAACATTTGAACAAAGTTGTTCCAATAATCCAAACTACCTTTCTCTCTTTCTCTGGAATTTAAGGAATTACTTCTCGCAGATTTTCTATTCTTATCATTTTGTAAGGTCCTTTAGCAATTGGCTTCAACTTGCAAAGACAGATGATTATAGCATAATCGAAGTAGTTACCTGCGTTTCTTTCTTCAAATCTTCATTCACGTTCAATCGAGCTGGAATCTCCTTGATCTCATTCTCATCTTTCTTAACTTCATTTTCGACTTGTTTCGCAGATGCTGCCCTTTTCCGCTCTTCCTCTAACACAGCAACCTACAAAAAATGGCAATCAAAATTCCTTAGTTTTAATTCCATGAACCCATGAGTTGGGGAAATTTGGCTTCTTTAGTAAAGAAAGATTGAAGATTTAATTCCAACTTAATTAGAACCATAAGAATCAACAGAGAACTGATAATCTACAGTCTACAGAGCAATTCCCTAGCTAAAACTTCAGGACAGAAAATAAAGACGTGATTTTTTAAACACGTAATACATATACACTTACCGGGGTATAGCGGAATTTGCGCTTGGGAGGCTGCTCCTCGTCCTCGGCAGTGGAGAAGGGGGACCCGGAATCAGCAGAGGAAAGTGGAGTCCACCGACAAAGTAGGATGCTGGTAGAGGCAGAACTGTTGCTGCCGTTGGATTGAGAGTGCTTAACAGTGGATGAAGGCGACACGTGGATCCACTTCTTCTTCCACTTCCTCACGGGGCCATTGAACACCGCCGTCGAACCGTACCGGACAGTAGCCCGGCCCAGCCTTGTGGAACCTACTCCATCCATTCGATGTTTTTGAACTTCTCGGGCTACTAGCTATAACCGACGGAGGATTAACCGGGCATAAGTGGATAAGGAAACAGAGTTGGATGTGACACTGACAAGTGACAACCTTAAAAAATAGTTAAAAAAAAGGGGGCTGATGTTCGTTTTGGTTGGTGATTAAAACAGGAAGACAAGATAGAGCACCTTAACTGAACGAACCTGAAAGAAACGGCGTCGTTTTAAATGATCAATTAGTCAAAGTGCTTCAGGGTTTTATACATTTTCTTATCTAATAAGCATTTTGGCAGACATTAGGGAGTCAGCAGAATGTGGAGCTCTGGCTCACTTGGTTCGGTCAAATCCAGCTTTCATCAAACAGTGAATCCTCAAAGTCCCATCTTTTCTTTTGAAAGAAATCACAGAGATTCATCATGGCTAATACCTCTTCATCTCCTTCCAATGTCAGTAAGGGCTTCATCATGGCTAATATCTCTTCATCTCTTTCTACGGTTCCGGTCGAGCCTGTCAATCAGAAGTTGAGTGGCGACTTTTTTATTCGACCCCATTTAAGAAAGTTGCCTCCTTATCAACCCATTTTACCATTTGAGGTAACTGGAATAATATCCATATCAGTATTCTGTATTCTTCTTATTTAGTTTATTCCTTGATTATTGACTTAATACTTTTTTGAAGCTTTTTAGTTGTTTCCGATATAATGAAAATTTCATCATATTATAAGTTAGAGGATGAGCAATTTATGAATTACTCGCGAGGCATGTGTCAATTCATAAATTATGAAAACTGCATCTTAATGCCAAAGTTGTCTAATGGTCTCATGTTGATTCCTAACAAATGAACCGTTTCTTTGCAGTGTTGGATTACTGAACTGATTTTAATATCTTGATACATTATGGTTATTTCTTCCTGACTCATGTGGTTTGGCAACTTGCACCAAGTTTACCAGACTCTCTGTCATTAGCTTCCCATATGCATCTCATGTTAATCAGTTTGCTGGTTTTTATTTCTTAATCAGTGTTGTGGGTTTGCGTCTTTGTTTTATAGGTTTTGTCGGCTAAACTGGGAAGGAAGCCCGAACATCATCAAATTAGATGCAAATGAAAATCCTTATGGTCCACCTCCGGAGGTCATTTAAATAATTACTTCCTTCTCTTATCAAAAAAAAATAATTACTTCCTTCTTTTTGTACCAATTGCAGGCACCATTCTTGCAATTGAGTTATCTACTGTACCCTGATTACAGATTTCGGATTGTTTGTAGGTTCTTGAGGCTTTGGGGTCGTTGAAATTCCCGTATATCTATCCTGACCCTGAATCTCGTCAATTGCGTGCTGCCCTTGCTGAAGATTCGGGTATTGGATCTGATTATATTCTTGTCGGTTGTGGCTGCAATGAACTTATTAATCTGATCATGCGGTTAGTACCAGGAAACTTAGTTGGTGTAGCTAGCTCATAATTCCTACTCTCTATTTGGCTTCAAGAATTAAGTATTTCTAACTAGTTGCTTTTGTATTTTTGTCGACACATATTTTCGTCCGAGCATGACATTCACGTGTTAATTTATATGTTATTATTTATAGTATATAGTATATATACATTACATAATATATACATATATTATAATTATATAACATATATCACATACATATTTTTCTCATCCATTTGCATTTATTACATTTTCAGGCCCAAATACAAATAAAGAACAAGCCCAACAGACAACCCACACGTGACCAGAACCAAACCCATGAACCGGTCCAGCTAGAGTTTCCAGAACCCTAGCTTTCTCCTCTCTTGCTCACCATGCGCCGCTTCAGCCCCACCGTTAGATCCAGTGTTGATCCAAGGACCAAGATTCAAGGAAACTAGGGTTTCATCCTTAACCCTAGTCACTTCAGCCGCCTCTCCTCACGCCGCACGAACCAAAACGATCGAGTTTTTCGGCGAGACCTCGGCACTAACAGCAACAAAGCCAATAACCCCGATTTTTTGGGTGCACCAACAAGTCAAAAAGCAGATTAGTGTTAGAGTCCTATTAGGAGTCTTACGCTCTAAAAATAGTCGATTTCTAGGCTATAAAATGATGTAACATACACGATTTTAAAGGGGGGATTACTGCGAACACACACATAAAGTTACCATAGCAAGCACAAAGAAAGTCGGAACACTTGTACAACATTTCGAAACAAGAAATAAAAGCAAGGTATATTGTTGTTTACCTTTTCGTTCACTTGATCCTTTGCATGTCAAGTTTATCGTCCATCGTGTTGTTTTGAGTCGAAAGTAAGCAAATAGAGAAGATTTTTGCCGATGAAAAGGCGTTTTCGTTCGAGATTATTTTTGTAGATCTACGAAAACCCGAGGCCTTTTTTGAAAAACCAACTTGATTTTCAAAACGAGGAGGAGAAAAGCTCCTGGAAAATAAAAAATTTTCGTGATTTTGCCGTCGATGAACGGCGGCCGTCGCCGTTCAACGGCGGCGGTGAGGCGGCTTGCGGCGACTGATGGCCGGTTTCTGGAAACTCACGGCCCCTGTTCTTGAAACTCAAGAACAAACCAGAGAAAAGGGAGAGAAGAAGAGAAGGGTTCGGTTTGGAGAAGGAAAAAAATGAAAACAAAGCCAAAACATTGGCTTAAATATGCAACCCGTGAAACCAGCCGACCCGACCCACTGCTTAATAGATCCGCGTGTTTTCACGCGAAAATGGGGGAACTCTGTTTTGGTCCCCATCGTTTCAAAAACTTCTATTTTGACCCCAATTTCACTGTAATCGATCTTTAATTCTGATTTTCTTTCAATTTAGCCACCCAACTTGTTTTTGATTCAATTTAATACTTATACTGACCCTTTTATTTATTTCATATTATGTGATTATATATATATATATATATATACGTATTTTCTATATATTTCATCTATATACCTATTATTAATACATATATATTATTTTTAATTAACTTTTTGGTCATTTCTTTATCTAGCTACTACGTCTTATAATTTTATATGTTATGTATGTATTTTTTTATTATTTACCAACCTTACTCATTTTATCTTATAATTATATTTCTATTAACATTTTATTTTATGTATTTATGTATGTATATATATATATATTCATTTTACCTATTATTGATATTTTTCCTTTCTAATACTTTAATATATATATATATATTTCTCGTTTCATTCATTAATTATTTATTCCATTTTTATCTTATTTATTTCCCCCTTTTGCTTTTTTTTTCTTTTCTCTTCCCCTTTATTTTATATTATTTTACTTTTTATATATTTGCCTCTGATTTTATTTCTGTCATTTTTTGTTGTATTCATTTTAATTATGCCATTTATTTTTTATCTTTCTCTTGATTATGCGTTTCGTTTTCCTTCGTTATCTTATTTTCTTCATTTTTATTTGTTCTCCTCACCATTTCCCCTAATGTTATTTTCACAACTTTTTAAGGGTATTTCCGTAAACTATCAAAGGTAAGTAGTTTGGATCGACATTTTTTTTACCTTTTAATTTAAAATTACAAGTTTTTTAATTAAAGACAACTGGAAATTACATAGTACCGAAAGGGCGGTTCAAGGGTGCTAATCCTTCCTTGACCGTAACCGACTCCCGAGCCCGACATATTTCTGGTAAGACGCAGATCAGGTAAGAAATAGGGTATCCGATCAACCCATTTATTTTTAAATAAATGATCGGTGGCGACTTCAATCCACATTTTTCAAGTCGAAGCCCAATTCCGAGCCCAACCGAAAGACGGTTGCGACAATTTTCAATTAATATTTTGTTGCAGATGTGTGCTTGATCCTGGGGACAAGATATTGGATTGCCCTCCAACCTTCACAATGTATGAATTTGATGCTGGTGTTAACGCAGCACAAGTTATCAAAGGTAGAAATATACTTTCTACTAGTTTCACTTTCGTATACATCACTTTGTAATTATCTTTTTTTGCATCTAGGCCGTGGATTCTTATCAGCTGTTTGTATTTTCAATCTGCTGTATTATCTATAAACATATTAATATCCCGTGCAGTTCCTAGGAAGCCAGACTTCAGCTTGAACGTAGAAGCAATTGCCGAGGCTGTTGAGTGGGAAAAACCAAAATGCACATTTCTAACTTCTCCCAATAATCCAGATGGAAGGTAAATGTTTTCAATGGCTTTCCTTTTTTTAAATCTGAGGGACATGATCATTGTCTTATTTCAATAGGCACAAAGGGGGTATAAATCCTAAACCTTGTTTTTTATCTGATCAACAGTGACGGATAAATGTTTGGTGGAACATGCTTTCTCAATTCTTTGAATTTGTTAGACATGACTGCCTTTTCTTTTCCTGGTGTCTTGCTGCTATAATTTAGTTGCTTCATTTGAATCTCATTTAGGTGGGGCTTCGAAATCATTTACGGGAATTTCATGAGCTTGAGGACTTTATTTTGAACGTGCAATGTTGAAACTGTAACTATATGTTGCTCTGATCTGTTTTTCCATTTACATATTGTTTTTATAGCTCCATTTCTTTGTTAATCGGGATTTGGCAGTATAATTAGTGATGAAGTTCTCTTGAAGATCCTTGAAATGCCAATATTGGTGGTGCTGGATGAAGCTTACATTGAGTTTTCAGGAATTGAATCTAGAATGCAATGGGTGAAATTCTTGAAGTCAAATTTTGCATGAATTTAAATGTTTTCCTTCAATTCTCTTTGGTGGTGTGGTGTGGTGTTGATAGGGATTTTAAATCTTGGAAGTTGAGAGCTCATTGTTTCTGGTTTTGTGTAAAAATGTTAATGAATTACAGTTTTTGTAGTGCTCTTGCCTTCTCCTTTTGTCGTTACCGTCAATCCTTACCTTTTTCCTTTCTGGTGCTATGCAACCTGCTAGTTAGAACTTCCAACATCATATGCTCTGTCGAATTGGTCAGAGAATGAATAATTATTGCAGGTTTAGCTGGGATTCATGTCGGATATGGCTCATTTCCTTTGAGCATAATTGAGTATTTGTGGAGAGCAAAGCAACCATACAATGTTCCTGTCGCTGCTGAAGTTGCTGCATGTGCTGCATTGCAGAACCCAAAGTATCTAGAGGTTCCTACTGTTCCTTTTGCCCTTTTCGGTTCGAAATATGACTTTGGTCTTGTTCCAACGATATCTAAAAACGGGTTGTTTTGGTATCTCGATTCTCTTATGCCCGAAACGCTATTCTAATACTGCTCTGCAAATCTTTTACAAGATGGTGAAAGAAGCTTTGGTAGCAGAACGGGAACGCCTTTTTGAACTTCTGAATGAAGTACCATTTCTGAATCCATATCCTAGCCATTCTAACTTCATTCTATGTGAGTTGACATCTGGGATAGATGCTAAGAAATTGAAGGTACACAAGCTCCACTGCTTTGCTCTCTCGAGTTATCTTGTTCCTCGCACAGTGTTTATGAATGGTCGTCCTTGTTCATCTCGTCTTATCTTATAGTTTTTGAAATAATTTCTAATTCTTCATAGTTGCAACTTCACTTCTGAATCCATATCCTAGCCATTCTAACTTCATTCTATGTGAGTTGACATCTGGGATAGATGCTAAGAAATTGAAGGTACACAAGCTCCACTGCTTTGCTCTCTCGAGTTATCTTGTTCCTCGCACAGTGTTTATGAATGGTCGTCCTTGTTCATCTCGTCTTATCTTATAGTTTTTGAAATAATTTCTAATTCTTCATAGTTGCAACTTCACTTCTGAATCCATATCCTAGCCATTCTAACTTCATTCTATGTGAGTTGACATCTGGGATAGATGCTAAGAAATTGAAGGTACACAAGCTCCACTGCTTTGCTCTCTCGAGTTATCTTGTTCCTCGCACAGTGTTTATGAATGGTCGTCCTTGTTCATCTCGTCTTATCTTATAGTTTTTGAAATAATTTCTAATTCTTCATAGTTGCAACTTCACTTCTGAATCCATATCCTAGCCATTCTAACTTCATTCTATGTGAGTTGACATCTGGGATAGATGCTAAGAAATTGAAGGTACACAAGCTCCACTGCTTTGCTCTCTCGAGTTATCTTGTTCCTCGCACAGTGTTTATGAATGGTCGTCCTTGTTCATCTCGTCTTATCTTATAGTTTTTGAAATAATTTCTAATTCTTCATAGTTGCAACTTCACTTCTGAATCCATATCCTAGCCATTCTAACTTCATTCTATGTGAGTTGACATCTGGGATAGATGCTAAGAAATTGAAGGTACACAAGCTCCACTGCTTTGCTCTCTCGAGTTATCTTGTTCCTCGCACAGTGTTTATGAATGGTCGTCCTTGTTCATCTCGTCTTATCTTATAGTTTTTGAAATAATTTCTAATTCTTCATAGTTGCAACTTCACCATTTGATCATAATTCAGAATAACCGGTAATGAATTTTATTTCACCACAGTTTTATGAATCATCCATGAAAAAAGCATCTTCTTGTCACAATCTGTGCAGGAGGACCTGTCAAAAACCGGCGTGATGGTCCGTCACTATGACAACAAAGAGTTGAAGGGTTACATCCGTGTGACTGCAGGGAAGCCTGACCACACAAATGCTTTAATGGACTGCTTGAGGAGTCTATCTTGATTTCATTCCTTTGCAAAATGTTGTGACTTTAATATATCAGTCAATTCTCACCATGTATGGGTTTGAGTTCAGCTTTATGTTGGTTGAAGTCCCACTATGTTTGGAGTTTGTTCGAATTTATTCTGCTCTAGATTCGGATTTATTCTGATAACTGGCATGACCGTGCATTGCAATAATTGATTCTAATTATAGTTAATTCCAATATACTGGGTTATTAATGGTAAATTTTGAATGAATTAAATTGAGGACAAAAATCGTCTTGTGATGGGTTTGGCTGGTTCAATGCAATTAAAATATTATATTATATTATAAAGTATGATATAATTCTGTCACAGATTACATAAGGTAAGTTCTGCTAGTCTTCATTATTAGTCTTATTTTATCATAACAATAATTTTTCAGACAACTTACTAGACTGCTAGTGGCTACAAGAATAAAGGGTAAACTATTAAAATGGCATCTTTCGTTTCATTTTTATTCGCTTCTTTGTCATTAGTTTAAAAAAACAATATTTTGATAACTGAAATTAGATGTAAATAATTTGATTACGTGACACGTTAACGAAAATGTTTATTTTTAATTTAATTTTATATTTTAAATAAAATATTAATTTATTTTTTAAATAAAATATCTGTTAAACTCTTAAATTTTAAATAAAACATCAATTTAACTCTTAAATTTTAAATAAAGCATCAATTTAACCCTAAATCTATCAAGTTCCTTCATTAGTCTTCGCTCACAACATCATCGATAGTTGTCGGCCACCTTTGTTGACGATCATTAAATCCTTTAAAATTTTTAATTCACTCGTTTTTAATCTCATGAACACATGCTCTTTAATGGGAACAAACGAGTAAAGTGGATGATAGTGTCATCTCCGTAAATAACCACCAAAGAAAAGGTACTTAACAATCAGGGGAAAACTTATCAAGACAATCAGATATGTTAAATGGTCCCACAGTCCGCATTTATCGTTTCTGTTGTCTGTTTCAAAGCTTCTCTAACTCCCATAAACTCACTCTCTGCAAAGATCGAAGCGTTGGATCTGAAGTAAAATAAAAGCCCAAAAATCTTTGCTTAAAACAAGACCTGGGTATGCTTCATTAACTCCTCTGTTTCCTTCTGGTCTTTCCTGCATTTTCAGCCTTTTCTTGTTTACTGCTGTTTTGATTTTAACGTGAACAAAGTATGTTTCTTTTTCTTTTTAGCTGGGTTTAAGAGAGATATGTGGATATTCTTATAGTTGATTTCGTGAAATTTTGTGGATTTTAATTGTGAAGTCGTTGTTCAAGGCTGAATGTTTTGTGTAAGATTCATGATCTTTTTTTCTTGTAAGTTCCCATCAGATTCATTTTTATTGGTTTTGAAGTAGGACATCAATAACTTTTGGTTGGTTCTTGCAAGTTGCAAGAGTTGTTCAAGATTCATTTCTTCTCCTCGTAAATTTCAATGTTTGAGCAACCGAATTTTCTGCAAGTTCATTTGCTTGATCAATTGCACTTTGGTTCAATTTGTATGATACGTCGGTTCTTTTCACTTCTTTTGTACCATGATCTGAACTCAATAATACTTTCTGCTGGCCTTCTTATTTTCTTTTCCCAGCACAAAAACCTCAGAAACATTATCTAGTTTGTCTGCTGAATGCCATTGTTGCACATGCAGATTTTACTATAATTCTTGAAACTTCTCCTGACTGAATGATTTGACATAGTTTGTGACTTCTGCTGTTAGGTGTATGCCGTTTAGTCTGGCTAGCTTCTGTTTCTAACGGGTCATTGAGGTACATATACACAAGTTTGTTCTTTTATTGTGTATCCAAAATTGAAAAGAAAATGCGGTAATGCATATTAAATGCTTCCCTTGGTACGGCTAGGTTGAAGTGGTTGAGTAAACGGCAGTAATGGATGCACAGAACCCTCTTCTAGGAGAAACCACTTGTGGCACTTTATTGCAGAAACTGCAAGTAATGTGCCTTCTAACTTCGTTCTCTCCTATAAAATCTTTGTTTCTTGAACATACCTGTATGCAGAAATATAGAAGGTAATATGTCCTGCGATTGATTAAAGGAAATATGGGATGAAGTCGGCGAAAGTGATGAAGAGAGAGACAAGATGCTTCTGCAGATAGAACAAGAGTGCTTGGATGTGTACAAGAGGAAGGTTGAGCAGGCTGAAAAATCAAGAGCAGAACTTCTTCTGACCTTGTCGGATGCCAAACTCGAACTTTCCACACTTGTAGCAGCTCTTGGAGATAAAAGTTTCCTTGGCGTTGTGAGTAATCAATTAAGTTCACATTATAATTGTACAGGAAGGTAATATTCTTGGTATGGTAATTAATTTTGTTCGTACGTTTACTGTAGGATACTGTTAAGGCATCAGGGACAATCCAGGAACAACTTAATGCTATAGCACCAGCGCTCGAACAGCTGTGGAAACAAAAAGAGGAGAGGGTTAAGGAGTTCCTTGATGTACAATCACAGATTCAGAAGATAAGTGGGGAATTTGCTGGGAGTACCGGTGAGCTGACTGGTGCTCTGGCAGTGGATGAGTCTGACTTGTCCCTAAAGAAGTTGAATGAATATCAAGTAAAGCTCCAAGAACTTCAAAAAGAGAAGGTAAGTTCAGTGTCTTATATATTCTGGCATCAAGTCTTTACATTCATCAGTACCACTGATGTCTCATTCCATTGCAGAGTGATCGGCTGCACAAAGTCCTTGATTTTGTTGGCACTGTGCATGATCTCTGTGCTGTCCTTGGAGTGGACTTCTTTAGTACTATAACTGAAGTTCATCCAAGCTTAGATGAAGCCACATGTGCGCAGTCAAAAAGCTTCAGCAATGACACTCTATTAAGGTTGGGGAAGACAGTCTCAGCTTTAAATGAAGAAAAGCAGCAGAGGCTTCATAAGGTATTTCTGTTGTATATAGTAATTATTTTCTCTCTCTCTTTTCTAGTGCAAGTGTACTCCCCGTTTCTCTTTCTGACACTGTCAGTGTTAAACATAGCTATATGACCTGATGGATTTGTCTTTATTACGGGCATAAATATGAACTTTATACTATATTCAACTTTATACCTCTATTCCAAGGAGTTAATATATTAAATCAACTTGTTCCTCTTTTGACAGCTTCAAGAGCTGGAAGCTAAGCTAATTGATCTTTGGAATTTGATGGACACACCTGAAGATGAAAGGAGATTATTCAACCATGTTACTTGCAACATCTCTGCATCAGTTGATGAAATGACTGTTCCTGGTGCTCTTGCTCTGGATCTGATTGAACAAGTAATCAAGTTTCTTAGTTGGTTGTTGAAGTTTGGGTGAGAACAGTTGCTTACTTGTATTTATTTTCTTTTGTCTTGAAGGCGCAGGTAGAAGTAGAAAGTCTTGATCAGCTAAAGTCAAGCAGAATGAAGGAACTTGCTTTCAAAAGGCAAGTGGAGCTTGAGGAGATATTTGCCCATGCTCATATGGAGATAGATCCAGAGGCTGCTAGGGAGAAAATTATGGCTCTGATTGATTCTGGGAATGTTGAACCTGCTGAGTTACTAGCTGACATGGATAATCAAATCATGAAAGCGAAACAAGAAGCCCTTAGTAGAAAAGAAATATTGGATAGGGTTGAAAAATGGATGTCAGCTTGTGAAGAAGAAAGTTGGATTGGTGACTACAATCGGGTACTTATCACTTCTCCCTCAACCTTGCTTTCTGTCTGGCTTCTTGCTCCCACCTTTCTCTGCCTTTCTCAGTGGGACCGATGCGTGTATTGGTTTGCAGTTTTTCAGTTGAAGATACCAGGAACTATTCTGATGACGCGACCATGATATATTTGAGCCACTTTTTCATCCTAAATGATATAAATGAGAATTTGGCCCGAAGTGGTGTGGTTTGATATGCGCCCGTGATATTGATCCTTGAATATGTTGTTCAATCGTTAACTTATTTGTTTCGATCTTCCCTGATAAATGTTTTGGATTTGGAATTTACGAATGACTTTTTTTCCCTTTTTGTCGGAATGAATGACTGCCAACTTATCAGCCTTTTAAAGATGTATACTCTGCATCTTTTTATAGGGAAAAATAAAAAAATAATACTAAAGATGCAGTTTTGATGGTGATCTTCCATGCAAATGCTCTTAGCTTATTACTTCCACCTGACACTCTTTCAGTTCCACTGATATTTTCCTGCTGGAACAGGACGATAACAGATATAATGCAAGCAGGGGTGCACACTTAAATCTTAAGCGTGCCGAGAAAGCGCGTATTCTGGTCAACAAAATTCCAGGTAATGTGTATATATCTTAAGTTTGTTACATATGGACATGGCTAATGCACCCATTTTATTCTTTAAAATCCACATAGTAGAGGAGAATTTTTTATAATGCTACGACTTTAGATCTGCTTAGCATGTGTGTATAACCAGAGTTATCCTGTATTAATTGGTTTTATTTTCTTACTTAGGTATGGTTGACACTTTGGTTGCCAAAACTCGAGCTTGGGAGGAAAATCATGGCATATCATTTAAGTACGATGGCGTTCCCCTTCTTGCCATGCTAGATGAATATGTCGTGCTCAGGCAAGGAAGGGAAGAAGAGAAAAGGAGGCTTAGGGTAAATTTTTTATTCATTTATTAGTTCTTCCTATATACTTGGTGCGAGCATGAACCTAGATAGAAAGGTGAACTAAAAAGAGATTTTACCGAACATGGTCTCTCGACTTTCAATCTGCATGTAAGGTGAACTAAAAATGTTTTCTACTAAATGCGGTAACTTATAAACCTGCAGGATAACAAGAAGTTCAGCGAGCAGCAAAACACTGAACAAAATGCCAATTTCAGTTCAAGGTCAGCTCCTACAAGATCAGCCGGTACAAAGAAGGTGGTGGGGCCTCGAGCAAATGGAGGAGCCAATGGAACCCCTAGCAGACGGTTGTCTCTATGTGCTAGTCAAAACGGAAGCAGATCTGCTGGTAAAGATGGGAAGAGGGACAGTACGAGGCTGGCAGCTCCAGTCAACTTTGTTGCCATATCAAAGGAGGATGCCGCATCCCATATTTCAGGAACCGATCCAGTTCCGGCATCACCTTAATAATAAATATAGACGTTTTACACCCTGTCTTCTTTCTAGTGTTATTACCTCATATTTTTTAGTATATTGGTCCGAAGTTGAAGTGCTGTTGTAGCAATAGAGTGAGTGACTATAGAATATACCAGTATACCGTTATTAGCTGTGTAATATTGTGAAATTCGACATTTTCAAGCCGGTTTCCTATTCATGTTGTCTCATTAGTTGTGTAATACTGTGATGTTTGGCCAAACTTGTCTTCCGTTATTGAATCCTCTTAAGGAAAGGGGAAAAAGGGAAACCATAAACAGGGAAACCTGAAATGAACTTGTTATAACTGAATTTTGCCTTAATGTCGACCAGCTCGGTTCAGTTCATTCAATCAATATATATATATACAAAAGAATTCTTTTTTACTTCTCCCTACAGTTGTAATCTCTATTCATTTTGCAATGAAATTTACAAAGTTTTTAAGGACAACCAAACAAGCTAAAAAGTCGCAACATAATCATAAGCTATACACTGTAATATTCTTTTTGAACTTTCACTTGTACATAATTTTATGTACTTAACAATTAGCACATTCGACTTTAGTATGAACATCAAGTATTCAAGCTGTTACTAATAAATTGGTACCTAGCTGAGAGGGGTCGTATCTGTTGGCGTAGCTTAAATCACTGTGAACTATAACCCTTGAATCAAGTTGGATGATTTCAGCATCCTGAAGTGTAAAACCATGGGGAAGCGGCAAAGGGAACCCTTCTCTAAGATGTAAGTTAAGATATGGCATGAAGAAGGTTTTGAGGATGGTTGATATTGCAGCCTAAAACAATAATTCACCAGACTTTTCATTAGATGCATAAAAATGAATACTTATTTTCAGTACACATCAGAATTCAGTCACAACGGTTTCAAGCATAATCTTGCTTGGAATGGCTCAATTATGATTCAAAAGTGCTTTCATGCGTGTTTATACTCGAAACAAGCTATAATGGATTGAAAAGAGGGTCGAAATGGATAATACCTGAACAAGCTGCATGTGAAGATCACCAACATTGCTCCATGCCAAAGATGCTTTGAAGTCAATTAGTCTAATGCTACCAGCAAGATTGTTCCGATGTATTTCAGCAGAACAAGATGCTTTTATCACCTGCATATAATTATTACAATCATAATTGTCCAAGAGCTTGCTAAAATGACCAAAATAAAAACTGGCTTCCTGAGCTCAAAGAGGTTATAAAAAATGAACTAAAAGATGGAAGTCATATTGCATACTAATGAGACGCATGCGACTGGCACAACTTCATCGGAATTTAAGACCTCAAAAATCAAATCTGCATAAATGGTGGTGTCAATATCATGATCTGCAATTTGTATGATTGGTGGAGAAGTTACTGTCAGACGAAGATTCATATCATCATCTGGATATTTCTGATACAGTTGAGGTATAATATATCTCCATCCGTCAGTGTTCATCAGCGAGTCGGGTATTTCATCGACAGTCCAATGCATATAATCCCCCTGACAACCAAAAGAACATATATCCATTTGTTTAACCATACAATAAGTTGCATTTTAGATGCATTTTCTATACATACTTTCAATCAAAGCTTGAGGATGATTGCAGGTTTAACACCATAGTAACTTACATTGAAGTACACTGATGCAGCAGACTCAAAAACTTTTTCATGTAAAGAGATTTCAACCATCTTTGCTAAACCATTGCCGGTAAGGAAATTTTGTGATCTTTTACAGTAATAGTTTGAAACTGAAATTTCATCTGCTCCCTTGAATAGACCATTAATATCGATCTCCACGGAAGAATTAGTTAACAAAGGGTCATCCATGAAAGTAACATTCAATGCAACAACACTATTAACTTGCAGTTCTTTTGGAATTGACTGCAACTTCGAGTCGAGAGTTATTATTCCTTTTTGGATGTTCTTGGTAATAGCTTCTTCAACTGCAGACACTATTTTCCCTTGGAAAGCATCAACGATCCTGTACAATGAGATGAATAAATACAATAAGTATCATGATCTCAAATATAGGATCAAAAAGGGAATCCACCAAGAATCAGATGTTTATATTAAAACCTTAAAGATTGTGAGATGTAAGTTCATTAACGCATGCGTAATTTTGTTATCAGATAGAATAGTGTCCAACTATGTTACTTGGACTAGGGTGTGAGGGTCCTTGGAGAACATATCCTAATAACCATGTTCGAAAATACGTTGGACACGGATACTTCAAGAAAAATAAAGAATTGGAACAGCATAGATTTCCGAATAGGCAACAACAACATACCCTTGATAAAGCCAAGAAGCTCCACCATCTACATCTATGGAGATATCTTTCACATGACATCCATGGTCCAATAATAATAACTTGAGAGTTCCTTCTTCGTTTATAATAGCCGCATTAAGCCCCACTTCCATGCCTAGAACCTTTGAACCATCAAGTATATAAAAAGTTCAGAAATCATAGATTAAGATAATGGATAAGCATGATATCCAAAAAAAAGGGGTGTAACTGAGCCAAGCTCGACTTGATTCGAGACAAACTGCTTGAACTGGCTTGATTAGGCTCCATTAAGCATGTTTATCTAGTAAAAAAGAATTTGATTCTCATGACTTCAACGTGATTATTCATGCTTGAGCTTGAGTTCGAATTTGAATTTGAATCGATATTTTTCAATACTAATTAAAAATGAAAATAACTCAGTAGACTTATGAGTTATTCAAGTCAAGAAATATAACAAAGATACAACTAAATAAACCGTATCGGCTATCTTGTTCTTTCAAAGTTCTTACAAAAGTTGAAAGCCAAGAAGAAAAATTATAATCCCATACCTTAACAGTAGCAGTTCCATGATCCGAAATAGTGATTACCCAATTTTTGTAAGAATACTTCCACTTCATTCTCAAATTAGCAGTAGCACCAGAAGCAACTAAAACAATACCAGAGTCCCCGGTTTCAACCGATGAAGAAGGAAAATCGACGCTGTAAATTACGATATCAGAAAGACCAAGATGAACTTTGCCAATAAGTGGGATTTTTACAGACTTTTCAATATCAGGAAGGTGAAGTGGAAACATGGAAGAAACAGCTTTCTCAATCAGCAAATCTTTAGAAAAATCAAGACCTTTTTTGGATATAACACCAGATATCCATCCTTCTTGGTGGGATTCAACATGGGTATTAGCAGAAACGAGCAGGAATGAAAAAACTATGAAGCATATAGGTTTTTCCATTGATCTTGAAGAGATTTCAATGTGGGGGAAATTGGGTTAAAGAGGATAACTCTAAGCATGAAAAGCTCAAAGTTTAATCAACGGGTTTCGGTGAACTTTGAATTGTTTATCTGATAAGAGTTTTTCTTAGTAAGAACAGAGGAGGGTTACTTCCAAGAGATTGAAACTTGGAAAGCAACAGGTGAAATTATGAGCGTTGAAGTATATGAAGTTGGCTGATGAAATCGGCTTTTGGCTTTTTGGAATTTTGTTCATTATTTTTTGATCAATTCAACATTTTATATCTTGTTAAGATAACCATAGAAGCATCCAAGCACAAGATTCGCACAAATTAGACAGAATTTCATATTTCCACGTTTAAGAAAGACAAAGGCATGGGGCTTCGTTTTTATGTTGAAAAACAAATTGAGACGATCGTTAGCTTTTATAAAACTTTATTTAAATTAATGATCAATAAATCATATATTAATGAATAAAAATAACAAATTTCTCAAACTTTAGTGGGTCTCAATTTAACCCGATTAGAATCAATCAATTTTTATTTTTATCAAAGATTGAGGCAGATTTTTCATTAAACTTTTGAGATTGAGTTTGAGTTAGATTTAAGTGTAACTTATCTCATCTCATCGTGATATACTTATAAAATATTTTTTATTTTATAATTATTTTTATATAATATATATAATTTATATTATAGAAATTTAGATTAACACGAACCAAACAACCTCATGGTTAAAAGTATTGTGTACACAGAAGTATGGACATTTATTGTCAAATGGTTAAAAGTCTAACTATAGGTATCTAAAATAAAACCAAAATTAAATATTAGGTATGATTTTTGAATAAAAAATAGTTTTGTGGTCAAAAAGGAAAAAGTTATAATTTAGGTACTAAATATGTAGTTCACCCAAAAATTAATAAGAAAATAAAATATAATATCAAATTGTAAGCTTGGGCTATCTTTTAGCTCAAATGGCAAAACAGTTAGCCCATTTAGCTCCATTTGGGTCGTTGATCGGCTTTTTGAAGATCCACAACTAAAAATCTAAAACCTCTGCTGGAACGAAACTTCCCGTCTCTAAATTCTAATAATTAAGATCTCAACTCCTGTTATTTTCTCTTACATTCCCCTCCCCAGAAACCAAACTAAAAGGTAACTGGATTTATTACCGATCTCGAAGTTTGTTTTTTGGTTTTTGCTGAGCCTCATATCGAAGCTTTTCAAAATACGTTTTTATTATTTTTGACAGGAATTATTGTGTAAAACCGAGATCTGGAATATGGGTTTCTTGGTAACAACCCTAATTTTTGTTGTGATTGGGATAATTGCATCTCTTTGTACGAGAATCTGTTGTAACCGAGGACCCTCTGCTAATCTGTAAGTGCTCTTTAACAATTTCTCTCTTTTATTTTTTCAATTTGTTTTGCTATCTTATTATGCTTTTTCCTTTTAGATTTTAAGTTCATATGCTAAAAGTTGTTGTTTTTTTTTTCTTTCTAAATGTTGGTTTCATGTTCCTTCAATCATGTTTAGAGGGCATCTTTCAATTGGTATACAATTGGATTCAAATAGCTGCTGAGTATCTGTATCGCGGCGATTATATTGTGGTCGCGGTGGTGTCCAAAACTTCTGTCGCAGAAAATAGTGGTGTGAAGCTGGATCACACCAGTAGCGGTGGATCACTGCCGCAATTTAACGGATAGCGGTCAATCGCGGCAATAGTGGACCGCTATTCCGCTATTTTAATTTTTTTTTTAAAACAGCTTTTTTTATTAAAGAAATTAATCCCTTTAGAAAAATTCACTGCCGCTATGACCGCAATAGCATCTCTTATATCCGCAACCGCGATAAAGCGACTCAAAACACGGCCGCAACCGCAATTTAAATCCTGTGGTTTTAGAAGTGAATAATGAAATATGCTTTAATTTGGTAATAGAAGTGAATAACTGAATATCAGGTTATCACTCTGAACCAACGTTAAATTGTTTGTCCTGTGGTTGTTTACTCTCAACATGAATTAATTTTATCTCCTATCATTGTGTTGGGTAATAGATGAGTGATCTATCAAGCTTATCTTCAACAATCTTCGTTACTTTATTACTCTGACTCTTCATTTTTCTTGAACTACCTGTGCCCAACCATATGCATGACATCCAAGGGCTCTCCAAGTCCAAACTCATGTGAAAACTTGAAAAAATGAATATACGCATATTGGACTCAACCATATCCAACATTCACACCGGAGTCGAAGTAACATAGATACCAATTACCATTATATACTATATAGTTTGGTTTTTCATCTAGATTCTAAAGGCTGAGAATGTTACCCACTGAAACCCTTTGTTCTTGTTTCTTTTTGCAGGCTCCATCTAACATTGGTCATTACAGCAACTGTCTGTTGTTGGATGATGTAAGTTTTTCTTGTTCTTCATGGTAGCTTGATCTTTATGTATATATATATATATATACACACACACACACACAACTGGTAAAGTATTAACTATCTGATTTTTTAATAACTCTTAAATTTTGATGATTATTAACATTGGACTCCGGTTAGCCATGTTATTTTATTCTAAATTTTGGTTTAAATGAACAATATAATATAATGCCAATTCATTTCTTCCTCACATTTGTGCAGTTGGAAATTACTTTTCTTATAGCGTGTCTATGCATGATTGCATGTGTGTGTATCCTAGTTTTAGGATATTGACGTATTTATTTATTTATTTATACACACATTTACATCTTATCTTTATTTTTAATTTTCTGACTGCCGGAGGTCTTCCACGGAAGCTGATCTCAACCTGGCGTTGGGGTCAGCCTACTACCCTACCTCCCCCTTACCCCATTGCATATGGGAATCAGGGTTTTGTTGTTGTTGTTGTTGTTGTAATCTGCTTATAAAGAACTTGTGGTGATTAATCTTAGAATAATTTCTTGTCCAGCATTTTGATTAGATTCTTAGCAATGAATCCACTGAATTGTATACCTTTTAAAGGCGGAGATCTTTATGTACCGTGCTTTGTTATTGCTATGCTAACAATGTATGAGACTTTGATGGTTGCTAAGTTTGTGGAATAAGGTAGGTTAAGGGTTTCCATGATAGATAATAAACCTCTGAATTTTATAATTTAGAAGAACAGTAAATATGTTTTCTTTTCTTCCTTTGGCACTCTTGAATGCTTGTTTACTCTTCATACAAATAATGTATTCATTCATTCAGCATGTAAACATGCATCCTGTCATAGATTATCGAGCCTACAAGAGACGGAATCTATATGCATTCTTTCTTTCCTCCCCCAATCACTGATACGCAGTCATGTTTATGTAGCCTAGTTCCTTGTAATTAAGTCAATCTAATCTCTCGCTCACCTTCCAAAAGTTCTTTTTCTTTCTGGCGGAAGGATTTTAACAAGGAACTTGACTTGGAGGCAAGTAGCAACTTTAGCTAGACTAAATTATGCCAGCGCTTTCAAGGGCTGCTCAGGTCTTACATTGTTTACCATAGTTACTAGGGTTTCCTGGGAAGACCTATGTGGGGCACCTTTTGTCACGTAGAGCACTTATTAGTAAGTAAATATTGTCTTATTTTGATTGTCTTTCTAGTTTTTAGTGTTGGTTTCTTCTTTGATAGGTGGGCAATTGTATACCTTGCACAGATGAAACCACTCATTGTCCCCATTTTAAGTGAAGGGGAATGAAGTTCTTCCAGAAGATAAACTAACAGTCAGATTGCGGATCGACATCTGAATTTAGTTATCAAGAATTACTTGTGTCTTCTGGTGTTGGTTCTGTATGCAAGCCGAATTCGAGCTTGAACTTGGCACTTGATGTTATCAGTTTTCTCATTTGTTAACACTCATATTGTTATCTTTTATTCAATTTTCATAAAAAGAATGTGTTGTTTTATCAGACATTATGAAATTTTGGTGAAATAAAAGATTATATTTCGCTTTATCTGTCTGATTTCACGTTGCAGCTTCAAAGCAACTCTAACAACATTAAGTGCATGGAAGTGATGGCAACGTTCTATGTTGTTTTGATTTATTTATTTTGGCATAATATCAAAATTGGCCCTTAACGATTAATATAGTAATCAATTTTTTTCAAGTGATATTCTTTAGGATGAAAATCTATAGTTAATTAAGATCAATATTTATTATTGATGTTATAACGTCATGTTAGTACTTGGTATACATGTCATGCTACATAAACATTTAAGCACATGGTAATATCAAGTATCGTATCAACATTTGATATGTATAATATATGTCATGTTGATGACAAACATTAGTAATAATTAATTAACGATTTTATAAAAATATCAATTTGACAAAAAATGCAATATTAAAAGTTAAAATATTAAAAAATACATTTAAAATAATTATTCAAACAAATATTAATATGAGATTGTAACATTGTCATTTATTTTGAACTCCGTACAAAAATATATTAAAAGCTTATGGAGTATAAATTATTATAAGTTTCCACGGAGTTGGATAAATTCAAATTTTAGTTAATGTATGTAACATTGATTATTAGATGTACAACATTTTTATTTAGATGATTTATGATTATAGAATAAAATTTAATTTAATTATATAATTATTTTTAAAGATAAAATTTAATGATTTTAAAATTTATGACTATCGTTTCTAAACAAATTCTAATTTAAAATGCATTTTTAGATAAAATCTTAATTTTATCTTAAAACAGTATTTAGGCATTAAAGTGGTTCGTTTAAAAAAAATGGAAATTAATTTGAGGGGAAAAAAGACGATAAATGAGGAAGAAGAGCAAACGGCATCGTTGTAATCTCCTGCTAAAACCTGAGAAGGCGAGACTGCCAGAAGAAGTGTCATCTAATCTGTTCAAGTGGTCTCTCAAGAACATTTCCCTACACATGATTTACTGAAATTCTCTCTAAAATCCTAAAAGCCCATATCTCTATTCAATCAAATATCTTTTTTTTCCTGTAAAAAATGGCGACACTTCAAGTAACAAACCCAAAGGAATTATTATCATTAACTTCTTCTTCTTCTTTGTTTTCTTCAAGACTACGTTTTTCTTCAAAATATCCATTGAAGAAAAGCTTTTTGAGGACACGTCACCGTTTTGGAGGGATAAGCTGTTCCTTCGCTCCTATGGAAACCGCTAAGATAAAGGTGGTTGGTGTTGGTGGAGGTGGCAACAATGCTGTTAATCGAATGATTGGTAGCGGTTTACAGGTTAGTTTTCAGCTGTTTTCTATTGGTTTTTGACTAAATTTAGCAAATTTTGTGAAATTTTATAGGTTCTTTTACTCTCCGACTCAATGTGTGTTGTTTATTGAAGTGGATTTAGCTTTTAAGTTTGAAAAAATGGAGAATTTTTGTGGGGTTTACCATTTTCTGGACTCTGAAACTTGAAAGTGTTAGTTTTAAGTGGCTTTGCTGGTGGGTTTTGGCCGACATTTTGATTTGATGGGTTCTTGTTGTCAATTTGAGAATTTGGGAAATTAAGTTCTAATCTAATTTCAAACATGCCTTTGTATAAACTCAGTACCGTTTTGAAATTAGTGTTTGATGATTAGTCAATGGTTTTTATGTGAATTTGCCTTTGTGCTACATGAGTTAAAAAACTTAGCTCTCGTTTTCTCCTTTTGCTGAGAATTTGTTCGGTTGAATTTAAATTGCATGTATGAAGGTAATGGAGATGATAATTCAAGGCACTTCAGTCATAATGCATTACTCAGAATGTTAACTTCCATGGAGGGATTTACTGATGTCATTGCTGCTTTGTTTTGGAATTAGGGTGTTGATTTCTATGCTATAAACACGGATTCTCAAGCACTACTACAGTCCGCTGCTGAGAACCCACTTCAAGTTGGAGAACTTTTGACTCGCGGACTAGGTCTAGCACTCTTGTTTGATCAATAAGATAATTATTTTGTCTCTTGTGATTTGTTGTAGGGCTATTTACTTGCCTTATATTTGATTTAATTGTGTGAATCAATTGACTGAAATGTAGGGACCGGTGGAAATCCACTTTTGGGTGAACAAGCTGCAGAGGAATCTAAAGATGCCATTGCAAATGCTCTTAAGGGATCAGATCTCGTCTTTATAACTGCTGGCATGGGTGGAGGCACTGGGTCCGGTGCTGCTCCAGTTGTTGCCCAGATAGCCAAAGAGGCTGGCTATTTGACTGTTGGTGTGGTAACCTATCCCTTCAGCTTTGAGGGGCGTAAACGAACCGTGCAGGCATGTTTGTTTGACTCCCTTCATTTGATGCTCCATATAGTCAGAGATATATAGCCTGAAATCCTTGTCTAGTAGAGAACTGATTGGGTTATGCAAATTGCAAAACAATAACATCAATAAGTTTATATTCCTACAAATTTTCTCATTTAATGTCAAAATAGTTGTCTTATATCTCTATATTTGCAGGCACTGGAGGCCATCGAAAAGCTGCAAAAGAATGTTGATACTCTCATAGTGATTCCCAATGACCGTCTGCTTGATATTGCTGATGAGCAGACACCTCTTCAAGATGCTTTTCTTCTTGCTGACGATGTTCTGCGCCAAGGGGTTCAAGGAATTTCAGATATAATCACGGTGTCTCATTTTTTCACATGCCTAGCTACATTTTCAAAAATTCTTAGATTGCACTGTTTCTAGTGTTTTTTAGATTTTACTTAATCATTCTTGTTAGACGTATTACATTTCGCATGCTATAATTATTGACTATTTTTGGCGATGCATGAATTGTTTTCATCTAGACCATAATGATTAAATGCTCGAACAATTCGAACAATTTGAGCTTTATCACTGAATAGAATTTATTTTCTTTTTGCAGATACCTGGATTGGTGAATGTGGATTTTGCAGATGTTAAGGCAGTCATGAAAGATTCTGGAACTGCAATGCTTGGGGTTGGAGTTTCCTCTAGCAAAAACCGTGCAGAAGAAGCGGCAGAACAAGCAACTTTGGCTCCGTTAATTGGATCATCAATTCAATCAGCTACTGGTGTGGTATATAATATTACTGGAGGAAAAGATATAACCTTGCAGGAAGTGAATAGAGTGTCACAGGTACATATAGTGTTAGGAATTTTGTCTTTGCCTATTCAATCTTATCATGTTTATGGAAAATGAAATACATTTTGGTTACATTCTCTTTGTGATCTGTATTAATTTTTTGTTGATTTTCAGGTTGTGACAAGTTTAGCTGATCCTTCGGCTAACATTATATTTGGCGCTGTTGTTGATGACCGTTACAATGGGGAGATACATGTGACTATTATTGCTACGGGCTTCTCACAGTCGTTTCAGAAGACACTATTAACTGACCCCAAGGCTGCAAAACTGATTGACAAAGTTGCAGGAGGACAAGAAAGAAAGGGGATGTCCTTACCGGTCAAACCATCGTCACCTTCATCGGTTCCATCTGCATCACCTCCTCGAAGGCTATTATTCTAATTTCCTTGATCTCTTCTTTCATATACCTGCATTTTGCCATAAGTTGTGTAAAGATATTCAAGCTTACGAGTATTATTAGTTGCTATTTGTTTTATCTGCTTGTGTTCCCCTTCAATAATTAATGGGTTTGGAGTAGTCCAAAATAGATGTGTCCATGCTTGAATCCCAAACTAATATGAAGATATGAACCTGAAATGCTTCTAGGTATGAGGAGGTGAATGTTATCACATTGATTCAATTTATGTTGATTTAATTCTTCTTTAAGTATCCATGTTCAAAATTATTGGAGAATTAAATAATCAGCAATGGCACATTCAAACTATATAAATACAAGCAAATCTTATGTTGCTTGATAAGTTTCACATTGTTGCTAGAGATGTTCATGAATCGGATGATTAAACCTGAACTCCTTTTAAAGCCAATCTTAGACCCGGCATTATTCAGCCCCACCCATATGTTAAAATTTTGATATACTTCAGAATTTGGAATTTGATAAAAATAGATAGTCGGGTCAGGCTAAAAACCTTGCCCCGGGTTAGCCTATTGCAGACTGAGGCAGGTAATCCGATCCCTGGTAACCTCTACTTGATGCTGGCTACAATGCTTTAGACTTGACAACAAAAGCAAATAATTTATGATAAATATTTAAAATTTGTCTACAAGACTTTAATTACTTGAAATTTACATAGTTTTGAGCAGCTCAGCATCTTCACACGCAGTAAGAAAGGATACAAGGGGGGGGGGGGGAACAAAGCCAAATAATAAGCTTCCAACATGGAGGTAATAACTGAACCGATTCCACTCTCGACGCCCACATACAACAATGGCGAGCTTGTTGTGTTTGCAATTCTTGGTAATTACAAATATTTTATCAGAAGGTATATTGTGACAACCAAAATCACGATTCCGATAACGGCTAATAGCATGCACATACAGGAACAACCACCTTTGGTTCGCTTGTTCAAAATTGCTAGGTTTTTCTGCACTCTCTGTTAGCAAAGAAAACAAAATTCTTAGAATCCACTATGACTGTATAATTTAAATAACTTAAGAGTCATCAAATTCTTAGTTTACTTGAGATCTTTTTGACTGTTCTAAACTAAAATATAGAATGACCATGAATTCTATCCTTCCTCCCTGACAAGATTCATCACCAAAGATTTCCCACAACATGACATATTCTGTCTATTCTGAGGCTTAAAGTCATTTATAGGAATGCTTATTTCTAGTAGCGGGACCGGATATATATATTAAACAGCAGTCATTGAATTTTATACCATTCAAAAACAAAAAGAAGATATTGCGCTATGCATTTAAAATGTTAATTAATAGCAAGTGTTTTACCCGTAGGCGAGAATCGGTAACATTGACATGTTCATCTAGGTCATCCTGCATAGGGGGAGCACAACATAAAGTTTACTGACTATGAATCAATCTTCACCAAGCATTTGCTTTAAAGAAATTAGAAGCAAAAGAAGAGAATATAGAGCAACATACAATGAGTCTGGTATGCAGATCAAGTTCTTCATTAACCGCCAATGCAATATGCTTTGTACTTAATACTGTCTCCTCCAACTTCTCAAGACCCCTCATCTTGCTCTGCTTGAAAAAGACAACTTCATAAGTTGAGGAAACTAAAGCAATTACGCTGGATATGCCATTTGAAACTAAAATAACTTGCCTTTCATGATTTGTCGTTGAAGACCAACAAGGCCAGAGTTATCCAAACCAACAGTTCTACTCATGGCATCAACCTTTGTTTCTGGCCCCAACAGGCTATCTCGGTTTGCAAAATTCGACATATTGAATGCAGAAGCCATCTGATTCGCTTTTGATCTCAAATTTGCAACCATATCCTTGCGACGGTTCATCTCCTTCTCTGTTCTGTGACCAAAATATGAAGTATCGACAAAAGGACAGTTTATTCCTCATATTACAACATATTCCAATTCGCCAAATCTTATGAAAATCCAGCAGAAATGATCAAAATTATTAAACACGATATCCATTCACTCCTATATGCTCCACAATTAAGATAACTTACAAGGGCTTCCCAGCAGGTTTAGAGATAAGGGACTGCAATCCATCAAGTCTAGTCCCTAAGATTGTAATCTTCCTTCTAATAGCTGATGCATGCCGCTGAGTTTCTGGTCCTGATGCAGGTAAGGAAATTCTCTCAGATATCATGCCATTGATATCATCAGCAATTTTTACTGCTTCATTATATTCTTTTATCCATGGGTCTGATGAAGCTGCCATTGACCTAGAATGATAACCAAATTAAAAGATTATTTAAAGCACAAAATATACACACAATTAGAGGATGAAAGAAGAACAAATAAGAACAAACTTAAGCTAAATTGAGCTTTCAAAATTAACCCAGAGTGATCCAAGAAAAGCCTTTCTTTTTTATTTTCTCCATTTCATGGCTTCCTTTGAAGAATCAAAGCATAATGCACAAGAAAAAAAAATCTTTTACAACTGGATATGAACTTAAATTGAAAACAGGATAAATATCAAGAAAATCCAAAAAGAATTAAGCAATCAAATTATACCCAATTGCCCATCTAGTAAAATTAACTTTACTAAGGGCCATCAACAAAATTCCCCTTTTCCTTTGTATGATGCTAAATTAAGCTGAATCCAAAGCAAACCCTAATCTAAAGGGGGAAACAGTCCCTTTTTTGAACAGGGTATGGTCTAATGTATCGAAATTTGGATGAATATATATATAAAAGAAAAATTTAGCAATAATATTAACTTCAATATAACAAATAAGGAAAAAGAAGGAAACTTGATTCAAGACCCAACAACAAATTTCCAACTTTCCCAAATTCTAGTGAAATTAAGCAAATACCCATATCAGTTCATGCAAATTTAATGAAAAATAAACGAAATTCATAAACAACTTACAAGGAGGAAAACTGAAATCGAATGAGCAGTTAATCAAACCCCAAATAAAACGACGAGTTTGGAAAATCGGGTGGAGAGACAGAGAGAGATCGGATTAAATAAAAAGCTTGAAAACAAAAATTGAAATTACTTGAATTTGAGTGAAATTTTGATGGACGAAATGGGGAATTAAACGACGGCCCGGAGCCGATGCAACGTCTACGTCGCTTAGCACATTATTAGGGTCATTTTCTATTTGCTCAAAAAAAATATTCATTCTTTGTTTTCATGCATTTGTTTGGTTTTTTTTGGGGGGGGGGGGGAAATGAAAAAAGGACCAATAAATTTCAGTTGCATGTCATTTTCTATACCAATTTTTTATGGAGGAAAAGTAAAGGAAGTCATAGACGTTTCTTCTTGTTTTGTAGTATTATAAATGGTGTATGCAAAATTCAATTTACATTAATAAGTTAAATATCGATAACATTATAAAAATGTTTTCAATCTTAAATGTATAAATATATTTAATTTCATATTTAATATATATATTTATCGGATCACTTAGAATTAAATATTTTATATATAATAAAAAAATAAATTAATCTTGAATCTAATTCTAATCATTACTTTAAAAATTATATATATAAGTGAAGAATTATGAAAAAATCAATGGGATAATAGTTAAAAAAAATCTTCGTATGGAATGTTGTAAAAATTATTTTTTAATTAGGACTGAATGAACAGTATATAAGGAAGATGGTTAGGTCATTTAGCGTCTTTTTTAGACTAAACGTCAAACTTTAAAGATCTTCTTCGTGATTCGACCTTCCTTCCCCCATTTCACCTTAACTGAGAAAAATAATTTTTCCTACCCCTATAAATCATTCTTTTATCTCATCATATTATCTGATGAATTTTACCTAAAAATTTTAACTTGTGGTGCAACTCCCTCTAAAAACCCAACACATACATTGAATTCGTAGGTAATCTTTTCAAAAACTCGAACTTTCCGGTGGCCACCAATTTTTTCTTCAAAACAATCTCTATATCAACGAACCAAGTGACCTCCCACTGTTAACTGATTAGTTGAGGTTTTTACGTTGTTAGTTACGTCGTTGGAAAGTCGTTAGTAACCTACTACTTAGACTTTTAGTTTAATTGCTGGGCTATATATTGAACGCACCTTGTGTGCTGGGCAGTATGCAAAAACTCTATATGGCCTAAATTACTCAAATTCGAATCAATGAGAGAATCATATTACTGCCTAGCACTGAAATCACTTAGGTAGTGAAAAATATTAAATGCTTGGTATAATAGGTAGTGCAAAATATTGAATGCATTTATATAGGGGTGGACCCATTCTTCAACTGTTATCCTACGTTTATTTCAGACGCCAAAGGATGGAAGTAATGTTAATGTTAGGGGCTTTAATTAGATATAATGTCTCATAACTCCCACCGCTACTACACAACGCAACGCCCCTTTCTCTTTTTGTTTCTTTTACGAAAATGGCCAATCACATTAATTAATTGATAAATATAGAACTAATTACGTTATGCATAAAGTTCTGCATCAGGTGTTGGGATTACAGTTTACCCTTTCAAGCAATGCCTGAATCATTGAGAAAAGACAGACCAAAGTTAAACAAAATTAATATCCATGAAAAGATGTTGGTTAAATAGATGCTATAATCTCACTGGTTTACTGAAATTATGAGTTCTTTCTGTCTCGCTCGTAGTGAAAGTGAAAGCTTGTAAGAAACTGACATGATTGACTACAGAAGGAAATGTTTATTTGGAGGTTCATCCACTAATCTTCAATAAGTTGATTATACAATGTTTCACCGAAAATAATCACATATGGATGAAGAAATCATAATGCTTATGCAGATCCAATAAAGAAGTCGACAATGGCATTGAATTCGTGGATGATCTTTTCATCAACACCATTTCTCAAGAGTTGAGTATAAGATAAGAAACCAGCTGTGAGAGCTATATTTGCCAAAGCCAAGGGTCCTGAAAACGCGTCGTGGAGATTGAACTTCCCGGTGGATACCAATTTTTTCTTCAAAAAAATCTCTATATCAACGAAAACTCCTTGTAAAACGAAGAACCAAGTGACCTCCCACGTTGGGTTTTTGCGGATCATATGGTAATAAACCAGTTCGTGCATCAAACCAGAAGTGACGAATGTTGCAAAAACAGCCGGCAATGAAGCCCATCTGGGTCCAATTATACGAGTAGAAATGGTTTTTATAGGGTCGTATACGGTGGGACGAAGTGTATCGGAAACCCTAAGGTTCCATCTATGTCCCCAAAAGTCTTGCAATGAAGTGGCTCGAACCGGTGTTTTGAACTGTGGCTCCAGTTCCACATCAGGGAGCAAGATCTGGGCTGGGATTGCAGCCACAGCTAACAACAACTGAATATTAACATAAGTATGGAAGAAGTAAAGGATCAACAAAACATGGTTATGAAAATATTGCTTGAAGATGTAAGAATAAAACAGAAAAACCAGCAATGCAGCTTTGTTTGCAGACTCTATGATCAAACTGGGCAACTGAAACGGGGTTTCACCCTTTTTGATCTTGACTGAGTTTTGTTTGATCTTGTATGGTGAACAAGCGGCGAGGATGAAAAGATAAAGCTTTGGAGGGAGTGGTGAAAGGGGACCTTTATCGAAGGCAAATAAAACAAGCCTGAAATTGGCCAGCCATGAAAGGATAAACACATGGGATGTTCCGAGATGGAAAGTGTGCAGATTAAAGGGCAGAACCAATAATAGAATGAGGACAGGGAAGATCGAGACAAGCCTTGTGAATCCCTTTGAGATCTTTGCTGAAATGAGATAACAATACCACAATGAAAGTGTTGTTGAAACCCACAACACAATCAAGTTATTGAGCTCACCCTCCATCTTCACACTTTTTGCTATATTTGATTAATAATATGACACTATATATAAAGAATTGGGCAACTAAGCCAAGTAGCTGTGAGTGAAAGCTTTTCGAACTTTATTCCCCCTTTTCCAGTTATGGTAATATAGATCTCAACGAAACTTATTAAATTTTATTCATGTGTATGTATATATTCTAAAAAGATAATTCTGAAAGCACTACAATTTGAAAAAAAATACAAAAAAGTAGTTAAGAGTGTGTCTTAAACTATGAGTGAAAGGAAAATCACTTTGTAGAATTTTTTTAATATGTTATGATTACAAGATAATATTTTTATTTAAAACAGAGAATAATATTTATTTTACTACTAAAATCAATTGATATGATGATTACAAGATAATATTTATTCAAAATCAATTTTAGTCATTAGCAACGTATATACTCTGCAGGTACAATTACTCAAACGCAGAACTTCAAGAGAGAAGAGCACTCTCTTTAAATATCGAAATCACTCAATTAATTATACATTGTTTTTTTAATTATAATGTTTATATAATATAGTATAGTTATATCATTTACCTTTTAAATTAATGAAACTAAAAAAAAGAAACAACAATACTGATTTTAGCCTACTATAAAAATAAAATTATCTTTTAAAACCTTTTCTAAAATATCCAAAATTTAAATATCATATTTATTATATTTATAACTCTTACACTTTATTTAATCTCCTCACCTACTAAAGACGGAGACTTTATTGTGAGAAAGGGAAAAGTTGAAGGTTGGCTAACGCCAACTGCCAACAGTAGACCACATTGAGCATGAATCGGTGCACTCAATATGTGGAAAAATACAGAGGGAAATAATATAAACATATTTTGTTTATATTACAAAGAAAAACATTATGTTCTCTACATTAACAAAATAAAATATAAATTTTGTTATTAATATTATCAACATATTAGGTAGCGCCTAAAATGTTATCAAAATTTAAGTTGATGGGATATTCGAAATCCCACGACAACAAAATATGTTAATTTCTTATTTTGTTATAAATAAATATTAACATACTAGGTTGCGCCAATAATGTTATTTTGAATAAAAGAAGTAAGTTGTAATCTAAAATATTAAAGTTGTGTTTAATGATATTGGTAGTATTTAATATATTAAGTATATTTGGATGACAATTATTTTTAAAATAATTATCGATACTACTATAAAATGATGGTCGATACTTTAACAAATATCAATAATTTTATAATAAGTATGGATACATTATTATTAACTGTTAAAGTATCTATACTTTTAGAATAATTATCCATACTTTCGAATTTAAAAAAAAATATTTCAAACGATTAGGTTGTATATATTTTACTGTTTATATTACTTTCGAAACAATATTTATACTTTTGGAGTAAGTATGAATACATTATTATTAATATTTAGAGTATTCATACTTTTAAAGTAAATATTCATACTTTTGAATTTTTAAAAAAATATATTTAAAACAGTTAAGTTGTATATATTTTACCGTTTACATTATTATTAACCTTTAAACAAACTAGTAGCAAGTTTAACATAATAGGTAACGTCTATTTTATTTTACAGTTTACATTATTATTAACATTAATTAAACAAACCGATAGCTATTTTAACGTAATAGGTAGCGTCTATTTTATTTTACCGTTTACATTATTCGTAACATTTAAACAAACTGATAGGTAGTTTAACATAATAGGTAATGCCTATTTTATTTTACTGTTTACATTATTAGTAACCTTTAAACAAATCGGTAGATATTTTAACGTAATAAATATCACCTATTTTATTTTATGTTTTATATTATTAGTAACCTTCAAACAAACCGGTAGATAGTTTAACATAATAGGTACTGCCTATTTGATTTTAACCAGTTAAGCTTTAAATATAAGTATCGATACATACAATATATATATATGGATACTTTTTCATGACAATAGTTGAACATAGCTTATTGTCGAAACAATATCTATACTTTTAGAGTAAGTATTGATACATAAGCTATGCAATTTATGTTTCAAAAATTTTTAATAGTTTTTCATGTTTTACACCTACAACATTAATATAATAATTTCATTTACACAAAAAATTATTTGATTATTTAGATTTTTTTATAAAATATTATTTAAAATTTAAATTTAACAATTTTAACTAAATATAATAATAAATATTTAATATTTATGTTTATTATTTTTAATTTAATAATAATATATATCGTAACATAA